TTATGCAAAAGTCGTTAACGAACTCTTTACATTCTTCGCACTCCATATATAGACTAACATATTTAAGTGCGCTGTTGCCCTCAACCACACTTGGAGTGGGGGGTCGTCCGTAGGTGGATTTTTGATACGGGTCTTACCCGTGTTGAGATTGCGCTGGAACCCCCATTCCCTAYACTACTCTTATTTCATATTATAGGTGGTTTTATACGAAGGAAACTTTTTCTAAACAGATATTTCTATCAGGCATTGCACAACGACAAAATGACTGCATGGTTACTATACCGCAGCAGTAACACAATATGCATAACCATAACCATATTAACAGAATTATAAGAATTTGTATTGAAGTACAAAACATACTTAATTACCTACCAATTTCATAATATATCAAGAATTTACTCGCTTTCCTCGGCCAACGAGTCGTAAAACTCTACGTCTTCTTATTGCTCAGGCGATTACTACTACAGCTGTGGTCAACCGTGTAGTTGAGGTCGTGACTGATTGATACATTCGAGTTGCTTAGCAACGCTAGTATGTTTGACCGAAGTCACGCAAGTTCATTCAACTCGGAATAAAACACCATTACACTGGTCTTTTCTTGGTGCTCTATGGAATACGACCGGCATTATGGATGAATTCAATTGCTGCCTCTTACCCAATTAGCACCTCATTAACGCTCAACGCAACAAATTTCATTACTAGCATTTTGGATGAGTCTTATCATATATAGTGAGTGAGGCATTTGCATATTCAGACCCCTCACAATAACTCGTTTACTCGTTTGTCTACGCTTCGCGTATCCACGAGTTAAAATCATTACTGGAGTCTTTATAAGCCACAACTAATTTCCAGCAAGTGCCTTAAATAAAGCTATGACTAAGATTCAGACAGAACTCGGTTTTCTTTACGGTTTTCCTAACACCATTTTGATCTGGTGTAATGCGCTATTCATGGTGATGCCTTCGATATTCTTTGAAAAAATCACAGGTAGCCCAAGCTTGGTTTCTGTGGTGTCCTGCTATAAGGAAATGTATGGAGATTCATCAGAAATTTCAATAAAATCATTAAAACGTGAAATAAAGCCTCGAAATTTTACCCGATCATTGAGAAATAGCACTTCTTTCGCTCTGCGTGGTTATTTTTTGAATTTAGCCCGTTTCAAGATTTTTTCCCCGACCAGTAAGAAATAAGAGAAGGTTGGAAACTCGAGTCCCAAAAGCGAACCATCACGGGTCTTTGAAACCTCGTACGTCTTATTTCGTCAATGATCGGGTAAAATTTGGAGGCTTTATTTCACGTTTCAATGATTTTATTGAAATTTTTGATGAATCTCCATACATTTCCCCATACAGGACCCCACAGAAACCAAGCTTGGGCTACCTGTGAAAAAATATGAAGGAAAAGAACCCTATTTCAAGCACGATTCATCTCAAGCAAAATTAAAACATTGACCAATATCTGGGTAGAAAATGTCACAACATTTATGGAGAAGCTTGTAGAAGTTGAACATTTCTTTCTTACCTCTGCTTGTGTTCCTCAAATGCCTGCACCGTTGATTTTGGTTTTGCTAAGTCAATGACTCTTGCGCTTGCTTCGCCTCTCATGGCCAGCGGGCTTACTTCCAGAATGACGGAAGAGCGGCCGCAACTGTACTGAAACGCATCCCTGCAACAATTGACAAGCCACACGCATCAGTGAAAGGATTAGAAAAAGGTAGTCTGGCAAAGCTCTTGCCTTTCTATGTCTAGCAATTGCCTCTGTTACTATAGTTAGTATTACTTGCAATACAGTCAAAGTCTCAGTGCATTTCCCGCGCATCAATTACAGACACATTCAGTAGTGCTCATAAAGACAATAAAGACCATTATCACGACGTTCTTGCTAGGTACCGCAAATTTCAAACTGTAGTTCGACGTCAGGCGTTTTCCGTCAAACTTTCAACATTTAGGAAGGCGTCATAACGAAGTTTTTTCTGGAAGAGAAATTCATGTTGAAATTCATTGATGATCAATCGTTCTCCGTGTTTGCGGGCGTGAATCTGGGCCTGATCCCTAGCGGTAGCAATAAACCTGATGCTAAAAGTCTTTAATATCTTTATTACTTAGTACCTGCCACACATCTCTGGGTGATCCTTTCTGAAATCCTTTTTAGAGATGGCAAGTTGCTCGAGTCTTGGTGTCCCTTTGGACTTCATTGCAGATTTGGACAAGGGGAAAATCATGGTCTGGTCACCCCATCTGACTGGCCTGAGAAATTAAAGAAACTAAACAGTTAAACTCGGAAAATGAAAAAGGAATAAAGGTACATGCATATGTGGTAAAACTAGTAGTTTGACTATTCTCTCCTCCCCTCCCATACTCTTCCCTCCCCACCCTCGTAAAGTTGTTATACGCTGAAGGCTCATTTGGCACGTTATTTTGGTAGAAACTAGTCAACAAACTGGAATGAGAGATGAAAGTGTGCATAAATGTTTTTATAAATATTTGTTAGAAAAGAATGAGATATGAGTGTTTGTCTTTTTTGGAAGTCTTGAATCGTGCTGAATAATATAAACCGTACATCATAACGAGAACACTTGATCCTTAAACACTTCGAGTTCCTCAAATTTGTCACTTTTTTCCTAATGCATACCGTAAATCATCCCTTGAGCCAATCGATTTGAAATCATATCTATTTTGATCACTCGGTATATTTAAGCTCATTACTTTATTTTTGAGGGTCTTAAACGGTAAAAAGTTCAGGAGATAAAAATCTGAAAAAAACTGAAACTCGAAATGTTCGCGGTTCGAGTTTCCTTACTGTAAGAATATTTTCTTCCAAGTCATAAAGCGATTTTAAAATAAAAGTGTATTTCGCCTTAAGCTTATAAAGGTTTTAGATAGAAAAGATATCTTATCAATAATATCTAGATAACAAAGATAATAATTATAAAGTACAGCGCACGCAACAACAAAATGATATGGCTCTCTATTTTATTCTCTTTTGTTTTTGCAATATTTTGTTTGTTTTATTTTTGTTGTTGTTTTGCTTTTTCCTCATATTTTAATCATTCAAAATGAAATTTTCACATGGCTGCGCGCGTCTTCAAAAGAAAAAAATGTATTAAAATTACACGGCATAAATTTTTAAATTTTTAAAAAAAGTCGCGGATGAGGAACCGAAAGAGAGAGAATCAATCATAACTGGATATTTGACAATTAAAGCCGGTCAGAGTAGCGAGAAATCTTAAACACAGCCAGCGGATTGAAGCAATAGTGCTATTAATGCGCTAAAAACTAATCACATAATCGACTTTGAAAAAAGATTTTATGGTAACAGGTTTTAGATTGTCGTATAATACCTAATTAAGAATACACCGTTATCGGAAATATCGCGGAAATTCGGATAACGTAAGATAAATTCTCCTAAAAGCATTTCAATTAAAAGCGATCTTAATGAAAGGGCGTGTAGAGTGTAGAGGCGGTACTGGGCTGCCTGTGGTCCACTTACCAATGGCAATCTATTACCCGAACGTGCATGCTTTATTTATTTATTATTATTTGTTCATTTAACCATGTATTTTCTAATTCATATGTAAAGTGTATGCTACATCGAGTGTATAAGCGAATTAAAAAATCTGCCTCAGTTGGGTCCTCGAGGGACTCAGATTGTATAGGCAGATTTTTTAATCTGCTTATACACTCGATGTAGCATACACTTGACATATAGATCTGTACCGAGTGACAAAAACACTTCTAGTTGTTTACTCCAAGAGCCATAACGGCTCATCTAGGGAGATCGCATGCATTTTTTGGGAAGGAAGGAAGGGATGACTGGATCTGTCTTAAGATATCAGCTTCCCAAACAACTTGAGGTGATCTACATATCGTATGTAATCACCTGTCACCCACGCACATTATTATAGTAAATATTATCACTATAAGAACTGAATAAGAGTGCATCAATAAATGATGTTAATTGCTGTCTTTTTCCTAAACAGAAATCTTCCTCTTTAAGAAAATAAAAATGAATGAAATTTAAAACCAATTTCAAATATTGTGACAACAAATATCGTTATCACTGATTTGGATCGACTATATTACTGTTTATTAATCTTTAGTTGTGCGCAGACTGAGAACGAAGCCGGAGATTTTCTAGACAGCCTTTGAAAAAAAAGAAGTTAAATAACAAAAATCAACTTAAATGCAAAAAAAAATAAAATGCCCTATAAAAAAAAAGATTGTGAGAAGCAAGTGCGCATGCATATCAAAGGAAAACCTATTACCTTTGAGTTGTATGATTTCAGCAAAAAGACTAGTTCTTTTTTAAAGAGAAATGTCGAGGGTTAAGAGAGTTGTCCAAAAGGATTTTTGATGTTTGTTATACGATTACGAATTGGTTCGTACGAGGATTATCAAACAGAGAAAAAAGAAATCCTAGTGTGTCTGCTTTATTATCATTAAAATTTAGTTTCCGCACGCTAAATTTTTTTCTCCTAAAAACTTTGTATATAATTGAGAAAAGTATAAAACAGTTCATATCAAAAAATAACATCGAATTATAATTGCAAAAATAAAACCTCGCGCTGTGTTTTCAAAATTGGCTTTAAAAAGTAATTATGTTGAGACAATAATTGATTGATTAAGACATCCAAATTAACAAACTCATACCAAAAACTAGTAGCCCAAACAGCTTTTGACTCCTTGGGTCTTGCTAGCTTGATCAATCTTGGCCTGTGTGGTAAAGATGCGATCACTTATTAGAGAACAAACAGCACTAAACACATCAGTGGCAAATATCAGAGATAGGTCGGTTTGTAGAAGTATTTTCTTAGAGTAAACAGAAACTTTGATGGTAGACTTACATGCCGTGGTCGCGGTATGCTTCTTCGTAGCTTGGCATAGGATGATTCACTCGCACCACTAAAGAAGAATAAGAAGGGGGGAAAAACGAGTCGTAAAGCGTTAGAAATAACTCTTCCAGAAGCTTTAGAATTTATGTACGTCTTTAGTCGGATAAACTCTTCGAAGGCAGGTCTTACCCTCGACTTCTGCCATGCTTTGCCCCTAGTTCACAGCCGGTCCGGTAACAAATAAATAAACACTATCAATGAATTGAACCCTAACTCAAAACACTAGCAAAATTTATCAAAGTGTTTACAAAGATAGACCAAAAATTTAGAGGATATGTTATAGAGAAGAATTTAGAAAAATGAAAGCACTTGGAAAGTAGATGTCTGAGCAGTAGGAGAAGTTGGTAGAAGTAACTCTAAGCGTTTCTATAGCAACTAATTGGCGTGTGGTTATCGTTACAGCCTGGTGTTATCGTGTCCAGATTGCTGGAATCTGATTGGCTGTTGTGATGCCTTTGTTGGGGTTTCGTTTCCAGTCTATTGTGCCGTTTTCAATAGCTCTATTGTCTTGGAGACTTAAGACTTATCTAACCAGCCTCGAGGGTTTTTCTTTCTTTGTTCCTTCAGAAGTGAGAAAAGATAATTGTTTACGAAACGATTCATTCTTTTGTATTACTCAGGCTCAAGTTATCCAGTCATGATTTTTTTTCTCTGCGCCAAACAATCAAGGAAAAGTTTGTCTCCAGTTTCTATTAGTTTCTATCAATGACAAAATTTTAAATAAAATTACCTTACACACACGGGCACAGGTTCAAATCCCGTTCAAGACTCAGAATTTTTTCTGAGTCTTTCAATTTGCAGCTGCATAAGTTGCTTCATATACCCATAGTTAATGGATTAACTATGATATACTGCGAGGATCAGCTCAACTGATATATAAAATTAACTTAGGTCGATTTTAGAACCAGAAATTATAACCTGGCTATAGAAAATTCTGAAGAAGTCCTTTTCGATCCATACAACAGTCTCACAACACATTGCAATGCCAACTCGATTCACTAGGGAAAAGTTTTCCCTTCACGGATTGATGCTCTTGCGCTGCTGTATTAGGGAAATTGTTGAATGGATTAAATTCCTTACCAACCCCTCCCTATCATTACCCGATTTCGTGGAACTGCTCAGACCACAGTTGGTATTAGCTATGCCACAAGTATTTCAAAGTGTGATGGAGTTCTTAAAAAGTGCGACTAGGTACTACAAAAAATACGTTCCGTTCAGTGACCGCAAATAATAGGTCCAAGCCGAGGCTGGAGTTGCCACGCATGATAAACTGTAGTTTTGCTATGTGCGGAAACTCCAACCTCAACATGAAGCTAATATTCAGGGTCACTGAATGGAACTGTAAGATGGAGTATCATTGACAGCCATACAATTTTGAAAGAGTATGTTAATTTTCTTGGTTTATCTACAAGTCATTGACACCTCCGAGGTACCATTGAATGAATACAGTGATCACCTCTGAATAACTCTTTTAATTCTCCAACTTTGAAGGAATATACTTGAAAACCATAAACACGGAACGTTCTCTCTTTTTTTTTTTTCACTTTGCAAAACCATAACCCTATTTTTTTATTTTTAAGCCCTTTTCTCTAACAAGGAACAACAATACCTAGCAAATAATTTTTTTTAAACACCGACGTATAAAGATATCCATAGTCTAGTTAAAATATTCTTCAGTTTTCACATTTGATTTTCAGACTCACTCCTAAATCAGCGATAAATATCAAAACATGCTCACTAGATTGCAATGTAGCTGTGCGGATTTTATACAGTCAATATTACGAGAGAGAGAAAAGTTATCAGATCAAGGCGTACCGGCCCTTTATGATCAATGCATCTTACTGAGTCAAATGAATAGGAAAATGTCTCCAGGACTCTCTATAAGGGACTTTTGAGTCTTGAAATGGCTAGTGACTATTATTCTAATTTAGACTTGCATCTCAGTTATATATTCCTCTTTTACTCCGACGGAGGACTAGCGTCCGAAACGTCAGTACGTTTTTTCATCTTTTCACGGTGTATAATTTACCTTTTTATCATTACTGTTTCATTAGTAACACCGACGCAGCTCACACTAGTTTTTAGCCAGTTATCTCTTCCTATTCAGTACTTAGTGCGCGCACTCAGTTTCCTTACACTATTTCAGTAGTCCTGAAGATGACTGCTTAGGTCAAAAGATCGACAAAAATTTTTGTTAAACTTAGGATTGAATGTTGAAACAACCTTTAAAATATTAGAAAAATATTCAGTATCGACAACATTTCTTACCATTCGTGTTGTTCCTTTTTATCGGAGATAGATGTCTGGACATGATACTGATTGTGAATGAGACTTTTAATTTTATATAAGCAAGAGACAGTCGGTGTTCAAATAGTTGCTAGGCTGTGGTCAATGAACATGCGCAATAGTGCAATGCTGCGAAAATTTTCGTCATAACTTTATTTTCATTTAGTGGGTTTGTTTATCAGCTTTAAATTGTTTAAATTAGTCTGACGATGAATTCGTTGGCTAACTGTCTTCTTACTGCGCATGCTCGACAAACAACACTAGATAACATTTCAATTTCGTACCCAGAGCCTGCGTTTCTTCTGGCCTGCTGCGAATAACGAGGGTTCTGGTCTCAAAAAAAGGGATTATGAGATTGATTACATTTCCGACATTAGCAGGACCCCCATTGATAACAGCATTATTGTTGAAGGGTCTTTATCCTGCATAAATATTCGTATTATTACTATTATCAGCAGTAAACACGTTTGAATGCTAATTAGGTAAGCTAGATAGGGCGTAATTTCGTAACCTACCAGCATGACAGGATTAATAATATATACAATCACTTAAAACCAATTATTAATGTTCTTAAGACGCAGTTTAAATACTTGGAATGTTTGAAATGTCCTTAAGATGTGATTAATTTGAATGTTCTTGCAATGTTCACTGTGCAGCTTAATACCGCTTTCTGCATTCTGAGTAATACATCTTTGTATCTTGCTCCAAAGATATT